ATACAAGACGCTTGACACTTTCCACAAGCAGGATGGAGACAAGTATGGATTCGAGAAACACTTTGCTTACGGCAAAGCTCGTCTTGCCGATGAGACTGACAAGCATGCCGAGCAAAGTACGAAAATAGGAGAACAGGAAGATCACGAAGGTGCAGGTAAGAATATAAAATGATAGAAAGAATGAAAGCATATTTTCGAGCTTTCATTTTTAATGACATAAATAAACGATTTTTCATAGGTACGATCGTCGACAGTCACTATGTGGATAACGAAGGAGATCACGGCAGTGAACATACCGACGATTATGGAAGCCATTATATGGTCGCAGAACCAGACTCTGAGAGTTACAGCGACACTGGCGACGGCCACAGCAAGAATTATTCTGCCGGTAGTGAAGGTTCTTACGAGAGCCACAGCTCTTATTCTTCCGGTAGTGATTCTGGAGGCGATTATGGGGAACATTATTAGTAATATTTTATAATACTTGTTTTTCCTATGTATATATTATTTTATACATCGAATAAACAGATAACGGAAAGAATACGTAACTTATGATCATTCGATTTGAAAATATAACGATCATGTTCTAAAGATTTATTAACTTCGAAATGTTGCGTTTCTATCCAAAATTTTGAATAGTTTCTATTAATTGTAATACAAGCTAATTAAACAATTTGTTCACGGTTTTTGTTATTAGCCGATATTAATTTGTTGTATTGTTATAATGTAACTTTGTTCGAAAGTATGACGGAAATGATTGATCGAAAATCATGAGCATCGTTCAAGAGCATCATTTGATGAAACTCTATATGTCAGCGATGCCTAAACATTCATACGATTAATCATTAACAAATAATCTATCCTAGATTGCTTGTAGTAACACGCGAAGGTGTGATTACGTGAGACAATAAGAATTCACTGAACGTTCTTTGAAATTTACAAGGGAAAAGAAAATTTGCCGTGAAGTACGATCATCTCACTTCGTCAATCGATCGTCTTAATGTTTCATGATCTTATTCATCCAGCTTTCATTTCGAGATTTTAAAGACAATTCGCCATTTCGAAATAGTTTTAGATTTACGTTGATATTCACGAGTTAGATGGTTTAGGAAGACACATATCGCTTTGCTGCACGATTCAACCTGACGGATGAAGAATTCGCAAGCGAGCGTTAAAAAGTAGTTTCGGTCACGCGACGATCATGGTGTGAGAGCTTCTACACATATCGCATGGTGATAGGTGTTGCTGGTACCAACCTACTAGTTTCTACGTTTAGCAATTATTTATAACGAGCAAAACTTCGTAGACGTCGCAGATATTCGAGGTAGAGACTGCTTGCACCGGATAATTATACTTCTTTTTTTCTTTTTCATAGTTGGCAAGTGGTATAATTTTTATTTTTGCTTCTTTTTTTATTCTTAACTACTTATACCTAAAATAGAACAAGTTTTAAAAAAAGAACAAATAACATTATTGGGATATATTGTTCAAGTTTATTTTTTCGTTTTTCAATTATGACAACGTAATTCAATTATGAGTAATTCAATTATAACTTTAATGATACGCCAATTTCTTCCAAGGCATTTCCGGTAAACGTTATTTCCTGAGCGCAAACAAATAAATGGGTTTACTACTTGAAATGCTACTATGAAGATCGTCGACTTCTCTTATCGCGATGAGTGGCGATGCTAGATTTCCATTCGACCAACGCTCGGTCGTTAGCCCAGTTTCCCTATCATTACAAAATCCTTAATTTTTAAAATCAACAATGTTTCCTATGACCTTCGTTTCAATTAACATCGTAAAATTCTTTTATCAGAGTGATTCGAATCGAATGGATATCGAGATCTATATGATAGTAAAAAAGGAAGATTAAAGGATATCTTTGGAATAATTGTGTTGACTTTTATTTGTTCAAAAAGGAAGAAAGAAGAAAGAGAGAGAGAGAGAGAGAGAGAGAGAGAGAAAGATACGAAATTACTCACGATCAGCATCATTCCTCTGCACCGTATCCCTCTCGAGAAAAGGTTGTAGGCTGAATGGGAGCTCTTGACCGTAGAATAGAATCCACGTCGTGGTTCTCCCAGGATTTAAATTAGGAAACAATTTCATTAGCAGCCCAGAAGGTAGCGCGAGTTCCTTTGTTCACCAACGCACAGTCCGCCGGTTTTATTCATCTAGCGAAAATGCGGTAAAGGATGGTTAAGTTGGTAAGCGTGGGAGAGAGAGGGAGAGGGAGAAAAAGAAAGAGAAAGAAAGAAAGAGAAAGAAAAAGAAAGAGAGAGAACCGTCGGTTGGACTTGAATGCAAGGGTGGTAGTTTGGACGAGAGGTTGAGAAGGGTTGAAGTTCTCTCTGCCGGGCCATCAACTGATTGCACACCCCGCGAGACGTTGCCGGAGGGGTTACTGTTGGTGGCATTGCTACGTGGACGGAGAAGGGAAGAAAAGGGTGCACGTAATTAAGCAAATCTCTAAAAGAGATATTCGGATTTAATTACGCGATGTAATTTGACATCGGTTATTCATAGTTGATGCGACGATTAAACCAATTTAAAGGCGGTTTCTTTAAACTGTTTAATTTATTACCTCAAATATGTATTTTTTTTTTCTTTTTTTTTTTTTTTTTTGAAAAGTTGTGAGAAACAGACTAAATATAGATGTACAAGAAATTACATCGATTTGTATTCCCTTAGCAAGATTCTTCATTACTCGTTGCATTACGGAACATTGATTTCTTCGAGTACAGTACTATTGTTGATTTCATAAAGGCTTTGAGGTCTCCATTTCGAGAAAGGCAACGATCGTTGGGTAGCATCAAGGGTGGATGACGAAAGGAAGTGGGGTTGGGGTGGCTAAGAACGCGAACAGGAGCGAATTGTCTCGACGACGTTCCACCACTCGTCTTTGGATCCGCTTACAAAGCAGTCTCTCTCTATACGGATGGTCCAAAGCGAACACCATCTAATCTAATCTCCGTTACGACGAGAGATGCCGAGTTCAAATCGAACTTGGCAGAAGCCTTGGCCTCCCGGTTTCTCTTCTTATTCTTTTTCTTTTTCTTCTTATTTTTCTCCTTTTTCTTCTTCTCCTTATATTTCTCCTTCTATATTCGACTTTCCCATCACCCTCGAAGGGATCAAGATAGGGTGCTCGTGCAGTAACCAATCTTTATCTTGATTATGCAGCGCCAACGCCACCGATCCCGGCCAATCTCCAGTCTAAGGCGTTGCCAAATAAGGTCGTAAGGAACCGAGGAAGCTATCGATCACACTGTTTTAGAGCCTGTCCCTTTCCCTTTCTCCCACTCTTCCATTCACTATCTATCCATCTACCTATCTCTCTATCTCTCTATGAATTCGACCAGCTCGTACGATTTGCAATGGAGAACAGGTTCGACGTCCGCCTTTGGATGCGATATGCGAAAGAAAATGCGATCGCTGCAGCGAGTTAATGGCTTCGATATACCTTCGCTTATCGGCCTTTACGAAGCCTTTGAGAATCAATTTTTCTCTTCCCCCGGTCGAACGATAACGTTAATATCTTTCCTTCCTAGTCTTGCTAGATATTATCATTTCGTTGTACCAACTATAGCTGATCGTGTCATGAGAATATCGTTATAGTGTAATAAAAAGTATAGATATTCTAGGAAAAAATAAATTTGAGATTAAATTGATATGACGGAGAGAAAAGTAATGAGAAAGTAGATAAGAAATATAGCATGCCATTTACATTTTATTTTAAATACTTTTTTATGTAAGCATTTGACAAGAATCATTAATGTAAATAAAAAGAACAAACATTAATAATCAAAATAACTGAAGAACTCGCTCTATGATATCCGTAAAAGTTCGGTAAATTGATGTTAGTTTATGATTTTATTAACAATCCGTTATTTGTTAATAGAAGAAAAAAGCAAGAGATTGAAAGAACGATTCTAAGAAGATCGCAAATATAAAAAGTTCGAACGAAGAATAGAAGCAAGAAATGTCAATTAAATATTTCTTTTTGGCTTCAAATTGCAATATATTCTAAAATCTAGATTCTAGCGTCAACCGTGCTAATTAAATTAAATTCATTACGCTTGGTTATCTCCAGTGCCATTTAATCGGAAATTCGATCACTTTTCCGATTGACTTTTATCAGCGCGCTGTTCCGCATTTTGATCGGTTTTCGGTTTCAATGAACGTTCCGGGTGTTATCGATAGTCGGTTTTGTGGCTAATTATTTAGATACGTTTAACAAAATCGTTGATATTTCAACATGATTACGTCGCGGCACGTGCAGCGGTGACAATTTGTTCGCGTCAGCAAACTGCATTGCATATTTTCTTATTGAACTATCGCCATTTATTATATTGGATAAGATCGTTTCTAATAAAAACGTGAGATTTCTTATTGCAAGAAGACAGATTCGACGCGGTTCACAAGTTTCTGTGGTATTGTGCTAGTATTGAAAAAAAGACCGAAGAAAAAGTGACGATAGAAAGTCGTTTTCATCATTCTAGATACTCCGTTTCGACGACGTAATGCTTGAACGCACCATTTTCGTGGTTGTCAAAGAGATAATTTTTTTGTAAAACTGACGTTTTGAAATGGTGTACATTTATTATGTATATTCATATATAAGAAAACATAGGAACATTTTTAATATGATAATTTGACGTTGTAAAATACGTGTCAAGTTTCCGTGATTATAATTATTGTTATATATTTAGTTAACGTAATAATATATACACTGATCATTGTTTATTATTATAATAATGTATAATATTGGTAATAAAAAATATATAGGAATACATACTAAGAGTTTTTTAAAATGATCGAAATGGACAATAAGCATGTTTGAGTCAAAGTGTACCATTTCTAATCATTTTAAAATAGTATATGAATGGCGAGTATGAGTATAATAGTAGACGTAGTCGTCAATGGGAGAAAGTGTGAAAGGAAGTCGAGTTCATGAAGGCACGTTCGTCGATTCTTAGAGAATCGGAGAACGTCAAATGGAGAAACCGAATAGTCTGAGTGGTCGTACGGAGGAAAGTAAAATCGTCGGAAACGCTCGATCCGTGACGGAAGTAATGATCGAATGATATTTAAGTGAGAACCGTGGAGTTCGAGTTCGTCAGTAGCTGAAGCCGGATGTGAATGGATGTCAAAATGACACGCGTCACGACTCTCCTGCCGATTATTTTCTTTCTTTGTTGCTCCTTTTTACTCCAGAAGACATGTCACGCGAAAGATTTGCAGGCCAAGGTTCTAAATAAACATGTTCTTCCAGTAAGGGATGTTGAGAGTCACATAGACCTAGAAGATGATCTAGAAAGTGCTGCAACAGAGCACAAACAGCAAGGACATCATCATGAGGTTGGTGGTGGTAAGGAACATCATACCGATCATCACGAGGAGCATGGTGAAAAGGGTGACAAAGGTTACAAGAGTCATCATCATCATGATAAGGGTGATCATGGTAAACACGATAAAGAACATCATGCTGGACATCACGAGGAAGACGGTGGTCACAAGAAAAGTCATCACGATCTAAACGAAAAATACGGAGAGCATCACGAGGGGGAAAAGGGTCATAAGGGTGGCAAGTTCGGGGAGAAAAAGGGCCACAAGAAGGGGCACAAGACGAAGGGTTATCACAACAAATTCCATAAAGATGAGTATCACAAAGAGCACAAGTTCTATGATGATTACCATAAGGGTGGTCATCACGAGAAGCACGGTGATTTCCATGGACATCATGAGAAGAAGGAAGGTCATCATAAGAAGGGCGAACACAAACATTCGGGATATAAGGAGGATCATCACGGTAAAAAGGGACATCAAGACAAGGGCCACAGCGACGAGGAACATAAAGGACATCATGGCAAGCAAGGGCACGAGCAGCATCACGCTCATCATGATTCCTATGGCAAGAAGGGTGATCATCATTCTGGAAAGAAGTATGGTTTTAACAAGGATCATAAAGGTTAATTTTTACAACGAAAGACATTTAAAGAGACTCTTAAGTTTAAGAGCAAGAAACTTGAAATAGATGTATTTTTTTTTTTGTAGTTGGTCGTATCGACCTTTCTACGAATGAAAATTTTTAGGAATTATGTAGTACGAAAGAAATAATTTCTTTACTTAACAAAGATTACTATTATTTAAGAAACAATTTATCGGTGATTACTGATGAAATAAACATATGACGATAAATTTTCTTTAGGACATCGAAAGTTAAATTCCTAAAACTTTGGTATAGTTTTTAATTTGCCGGTTGAAAATGATAAGAGCGTGAAAGTTAAAAGTAATAATCGGATATAGGATATATTTAACGCGACTATCTTTAACATGCAAATGTAACATGGAAATGCAAATATTCATGGGCTTGTCCTATCATGGAAGTGGTATTATAACCTTGGCTACATTTAATATTGTTAAGCGTGGATTTTAGCATTTGTTTTCATTGCGCCTCTTCTGATAACGTGAAACTAACGATAATAGTAATCGTAATAATTTACAATGATATTATTGCAACGATAACAGAAATAATCAGACTAACATAATATTTTTGTACGCTTCGTTTCGTGATAATAGAATAATAACATTATCAAGGAATAATTCTATAATAAAATAGAATTTAATATAAAATATTAAAAATAAGATTGTATAAGTAAATATAAAACACATAAAGGATATAATTTAATATCTCTGAGTTTTTTCTTTGATAATGGAACAAATAAGCTTTCTCGTGGCTCATATCTGAACGATAGTAAGTAGCTGCATTACTGTTCAGACGGCAACGCGATATTGTGCCTTATAGGTTTGTCGTGATTTATTGCGAACGTTTTCCTTCAGTAGTTTTCTTACCTCTTTTTTTGAAGTACTCATATCGCAATAAAAAGATTGTGTTGAATGAAAACTGCACAATCGAGATTTTCTTTCCGTTTATTTTCTTCCTTCTGAAAATGAAATTTCACAAATGCTTATAAAACATCCATACATTTTCAAAATGCAATATATATACGACTATGAATACATTAATTTTGATTATAAATATATATATATATATATATATATATATATATATATTATACGTTTTATCGTTTAGTTTAAAGTATGGAAGCAGTCAATTAATTTTTTTGTTCTGCTTTGCAATCATTTGTATCAAAGAAACAAGATATGCCTATGATAATTAATAATCTTTTTATAGGAATTCATTTCAACAAAGAAGAGAACTTTCTACTGAGAACAATCTGAAAATTGTTATAGATCATTGAACGACAGATCTGAAAATATTAATCCGAGACAGTGCTATCGAAAGATATTAACATTTTTTAATTAAACATTTTTATCGATTCGTTCAGGTAATTATACCAATTCGATGACCTACATACCATACCTATCATTATAGGGCGACATTTTTCGTGTTTGGTTCGCCGGATTAAAATTTGGAATTTTGTTCCAGAAAATGACCAACAAAAAGCATTCTCACGTATTCCCCATCCCCTTTATCTCTTTTCTGTCTCTTTTTCGACCCACATAGCAGGATACTCGCTTTTTGCTAAATTGACACGTCTGCTACGATATAAATGTTTGCATGATTCTGATATATTTTGTCTCTCTCTTGTCTCTTATATTTTCATATTCGTGAATGCTTTATTCGTTATTCGCATTTGAGTATGCACACACATTATGTCGATATGTGAACAGGCAGCCGGTGTAACCCGTCGAAAACACGTGTTCGCGTTAATTCGAATCTCTGGCGCCTTCTGCATCGGAAATGTTGGCGCTAATAACGCGAAAGAGAGAGAGAGAGAGAGAGAGAGAGAGAGAGAGAGAGAGAGCGAGAGAGAAAGAGGTTCAACCTATTAACTGGGCGTAGCAACTAAAGCGAAATGTGACGTTACATAGCTACCCTTCCTCATAATTTTGATGAACGAACGTTTTACACATCATTCGTTAATACTTTATCAATTGATAATCCCATATATCTATATTAGAAAAATGAAGTAAAGTATCTATTAAATTTGCTTGCACGGTTATATTATTCTTTAACGTAGAAGTAAAAATATTTATTAGATATAGCAAAATTTTATTCCACACATAAAATAAAAATTATTATTATTGTTATTATTATTATTATTTTTATTATATATGTATATATTTTTTTAAATATATATACATATATTATTTGTATGTATTTAATTTATATATTAAATTAGAAATTAATACGCTCAAATTATTACTCTTCAATTTTATATTGTAAAAAAATAAAAATCAAAAAGAAAAACTTTTACTATCCAGATTATAGAATATTAAAGATATACTGTACGCGTATATCACACATTTTAAGATAGTCAAGAAAGAGCAGCGTATAAACAAGTTAAGCTTGGCCATAGTATTTAATCCGCGAGCTTACGACCATCAAAAGAGCTCGCCTTATGCGGCTTCACGATGCAATTTTCATTACATGACTCTAGTACGCGGACGCGTTTATTATTCGTAAGGTTGCTGCCATCTCGTGAAAATTTTATCAAAGGTTCTTCTGCTTATATAAGACAAGCTTAGGGTAGTGGTCTCGGTATGTTGCTATTGTCTGGCATCAACTAACCCGTCTAGCCGATTTCTCTTTTAGTGGCGAGAGGTCAACAACAATGAACTTCGAGAATTCGTAGAATTTTCATCAAGTTATATGACTAAGTAAGTTATATCGTCTTATTATTTCTTTCTTTCTCTTTCTTTCTTTCTCTCTCTTTCCTTTTTTTCTTCAAGTATATTTTGGCATGAAATTTTAACAAGAAGGTATGACCAACATGTATATATATTAATCAATTTTCCTAAGAACAATACTGTTACATTCTACGTATAATTATTTTTTTCCTTTTCTCACGTGTAATATTTTCCTCGTTGAGATTAGTAATGTATAACGGAAAGATCTACTTAAAACGGAAAGTAAACCGAGAACATTTTTAATATTTATCAAAAGATTACTATTTTATCGCACCATTTTCGATATCTTATGATTCTTCGAAATTTAAATCATCAATGCGTTTATTCAACATCTTTGGAAACATAAACAGTTTAAATCTCCAATACCTCTGCTTATAAAAATGCATTCAATTAAATTCTTCTAATCGTACGTCAGTTAGACTTCGTTTCGTAATACAATAAATTTCTTATTAGGTATTAAACCAATCAGAATTATAGATGTTAGGATTTTTATATAATAGAAAGAGAAAAAACAGATCTTTTATGTTGGCAAATTTCTTATGTGATGAGTTAAATGCGTCAGAAAAAAGGGAACTCAGAAAGGGATAATCAGAAAAATTTGGAAAATTAGTCAGTATTTGTCATTCTATAAACCCAATCACTAATTAGTTAATATTTTTGTGATTATCTCTTAAATTTATATCTTCCATTCTGTGAAACATATAATTAATAAGTCTGCATTCTCTATTCTATGAAACCAGTAATTAATTAATAATTCTGTATTTTGTATTCTATGAAACTGCTAATTAATTAATAATTAGTAAATAAGTCTGTATTCTGGATTTTGTAAAAACAGTAATAAATTTATAAGATTGGAATAAATTGAACATTCCATATACTCTTATATCTCTTACTGAACGTTATCCGCTTATTATTAAGATGAGAATTCATACTTGATTCGTTACAGCACTCGTAAAGAAGATAAGCAATTTGAAATTTTTATTTTTTTGTGCTTCTTCTTCCATTTTATTCTATCGGTTTATATCTCCATTCTCATATTCCATTATCGAATTTACATTCTTTAAGATTAATCTCTGGTAGAGGCTTTATGTCTTGATAAAAAATTGATCACATTAGATTAGGCCATAAGAAGTAACAGTAAATTAATCTGATTTTTTCGAATTGATAATACAAGTATATAAATGTGTCAATAATCTGTATTATTTCGATAAAATGATAGAGATTATTGTCTACATTTTTTGTGAATTTCTAATCATGATTCTTCAAGCGAATCCAATTTGTTCCAATGTTCAAGAAAGGCGATCAGTTAGAGATGTGAAAGCGAGAGAACGTAACTGACTCGAAACGAGTCAAATAGTAGGTCAAAGTTGGTGGGAAGCGGCAGGACATCCACCACTAGAGTGCTAGACAAGAACGAAGGGGATACTTGCTGGCTTTGCTGCTTCTGACTAGTAACTTACTGCTATTTGCATTGTTAATTAATAGCTATTATTCTCTCTCAGAGAAATTTCATTCGAAAATCATAGCATTGAAAAGGGTTTAACGATTTTTGATTAAACGTGTACGTCATTTCATTCGATTAACTATCTTGTACGTCAATAATACATAGTTGGTATAAATATTGCAGTTTATTTTTATAGAACTATTCTCAACAAAATTAATTGAAAAAAGTCGATTTGATCTGTTGTGAGAGATAAAGAAGCATATTTCAAACTATATTTTTTTATGTAGATATTTACAAGTACGATAACTGAGAAACTGTTAAGTATGTACATTTTATTTTTACCTTGTTAAAATAAAGAATCTTTCTATAAAGAGATATAGATAAACAATCACGATTACTCGTTTTAAATTATGTTCATCTATTCTACTGTATTTATCTTACATAAGTTAAAGATAAAACTGATTTGGTATGCGTTGTGTGTGTGTGTATATGTGTGTGTACACTGTAATGGTAGATACACGGTTAACATTTCTCTCATATCACGTATCACGTACGCATTTAGTATACTGCTTCTCTTTCTCCTTTTGCTTCTTTTCCTTTGTACTAGGACCACTCCAATTACATTAATTAATCCGGCAACGCGTACGTGCGACGCAGATCGAAACAATGGCGGATACTCGCTCTTTCGTCATCGTTAAAATGAATAGCTGGGAACATCAAGTAGGCTGTACTAGATCGCACGAATGCGCTACCTCTAACAAACAATGCCTCTGGCAAGATCGGAAGCTTTCGTAGATATACAAACAATACGTATACAAGTATACCATATTCGTTAATACTATGACAATTTCTAAAATCATCCGTACGTATTCAAATGATAAGAACAATGTTCGACTCCGTAATTAAATGATTATTATATTGATTTCGATATTTTCTTTCTTTATCTTTTTTTTTTTTTATAGAAGATTGTATTGTTCAATGTAGTTTAAGAAAAAACTTTCTTAGAATATTTCAGTTAAATTTAATTCAGTTTAAATTTAATTAAATTTAAATCTAATTTCAATATCACAATTTAAAAAGCGATATAACTTTGGAATTATTTTAATGACAATAAAAGCTTTTCCATTCTTACACGGTTTTTTGATAATAATATAATTCTAATGATACCGACTGTTTACGCGTAATATTTAAACGTGTTCATGCGTTCTTATGATTATTGATACATATTTAAACGTATATAAAAACCTTATTAATGTTTTTTCTTGAATAAAATATGGTAAAAGTGTGATAATATGCGGTATAAAATAAAATATGAAAGGAGATCCTAAAACGCAGGATCTGTGAACGGTTTTTATTTCAATGGAGATCAAAGGCTTTTCTACGCGAATGAATAAAGTGAAAGTGTTTATCTTTAAGCGCGAAGAAAAAGCTTATATCTCTAGAATAATCTTTTTACTATCTTATATAACAGAGATAGTCCAAAAGGAATTTCATGTCACTAACCGACTGTAACTGATATTTTAATCGTAGCTCTTTTTTTGTTATTAAAACAAGCAAAAAATCGATAAACAACACTTTAGGGACGGTCATTTTATTTCTAACAAAAACAATTTATTTTTAACGAACAATTCCAACTTATTAATTAACAAAATTAACAATCAACAATTTATAAATATAAAATATCATTTGAATTCCGTTCCGAAATCGTACGGGGGTTAGGAAAATTGTGATCGGAAAGTTCAGGAGAACAACAAATCGAGTAAAAGAACAGCTGGTGGTATCTCCTAATTAGATGAGTTTCTTAATGGCCGTGTTTGTATCCCCATTCTTTGTGATCTTCATGACCACCCTTTTTACCATAATGAGAATCGTGATGGTAATGTTCATCGTGTCCACCGCTGTCTTTGTGACCTTTATGATCGTGATGGTGATGTCCCTTCTCGTGATGGCCCTTTTTACCGTAATGATCTTCATGATGGCCATGATCATGATGTCCCTTTTTAAAGTGACCACCTTTTTTGTGACCGTGCTCGTGATGATGACCACCGTGATCTTCGTGATGACCAGAGTCGTGATGTTCATCGTGGAATTCCTTATCCTTCTTAAATTCGTCAAACTTCTTTACCTCATGATGCCCTTTGGTACTATGTCCCTTACCATAGTGTCCTTTCTCGTGGAAGCTGTGGCCCTTTTCGCCTTTTTCTCCTTTGTGATGTTCTCCGTAATATCCATCATCGTGATGATGATGCTTCTTGTGTCCTTCGTCTTCGTGATAGTGTCCCGAATGTCCCTCTTTGTCGTGATGTCCTTTCTCTCCCTTATCATGATGATGATAACTTTTGTAGCCTTTATCTCCTTTTTCACCATGTTCGTTATGATGACCGGAGTGATGCTCGTCCCCACCACCTTTCTCAAAATGATGGTGGCTGGCAGCTGTTTCTAAATCCTTCAAGCCACTAATATCTCTAGCCAGGGCCAGTGTGACAAAAAGGGCCACTGTTATCAGAGCACCCCGTAAACCGATCATGTTGTTTGTTTAGCAGTATGGTTGATATTTGGTAAGGTAACCCACTGCCAATTCAAATGCATCCAGCTGATGCAGGTGACGGGATGGGATCTCGATACCAGGCCGATTAATTTATACGTTTCGTACCCAGTCCAGCGCTATGTATTGGCAGATGGAGGTGGGTAAACCACAACAGCGGTGGTGGCGTTTTCAGCTAGGTTCCTGTGGTGGGAGCGAATAGCTTCGGTTTCTCTCTTCGTTGCGCTATATAGAGATCGTCCTTTTTTCGGTTTGATACATTTGTAACGTTGTTTTCTGCTCTCATGATCGGGAAACGAAACGGTCTCACTGAGTTTTGTTAAAGAAACTTTATACGTAACCAGTTGGTCAACTTTTGAAAAAAATTATATAATCAATATTTTATGACTTTTTTTTATAACAATTATTAATATCAATGGTTAAATAAGAGAATTCAGTTTAAATAATATTTCTACTATTATTTATATTCTAATATTACTATTATTATTCGTTATAATCAATATTTATATGAGTAAAATTTGTAGTCACTGAAACAATTACAAATATTTTGTCGATTATTTCAATTTCTGTTTTAATATTAAAGTGATATTATGGAAATAGATCAAACAAATTTATATTGATTCTTCAAAATTACTACGTTAAACCATTTCACATACCGTTACCGTAACATAATTTGTTGTGCGTGCTTTCGCATAATTAGTTTTTGGTATTAGCTGATTTATTATCATACGTGCTGGAGAATATTAAACTGGATTCGCCATTCGATATGTGTATCGTGACACTGTGCTAATGACGATTATCCTCATTAGTCACATTAAAAATAAATATTTTATATTGTTATAATTATAATGGTTATAGGAGATTATTTATCCACAATGAAGAACAATATTGTAATAATATATTATACAGTTTAATAGAAAAGGATCATTAAAAAAAAATTTGATTACGCTAATAATTTTAATTGTTTGCTACGATTGATATAATATTAACATATTATTCTTCAATTTTGAAAATCAACTTATATCATAAAGAATTTAATATTTGATATAATATTTAATTTAAACACAGAGAATGTTCGTAACGATATTTAGAAAAGAATTGAAAGCAAAAGAATAATAAATTAAACTCCTCGTGTAATTTCTGACGTGAAGATAAATATAGTTTTGTAAATATAAAGCTCATAAGTAGATTGATAATTTAATCAATCGGTTATTTTATTTAAATAAAATAATAATTATTATCTCCAAGATTTATGCTGAAATTAAGGATCATAGGAGGGTATATAAAATTGGATCGGAAATTTGTAAAGAAAAAGATATGCGATATGATTTGTAATTCTTATATATTTTAATTATTAAAATTAACAATTCAGATCGATTAGGGATTAAAAGAGTTTAAAAATAATCAACGAGAGAACAAATATTAACGATGCAACAACGTTCGAATTACAATAGGATGAACTTGTTGCGATAATGATTAGCGATGGTAGCCGCCGTGACCACCACCTCCGCCGCCGTGACCACCACCTCCGCCGCCGTGACCACCACCTCCGCCGCCGCCGCCGCCACCACCTCCATGACCACCACCGCTCGAGAATCCGTGAGATTTCCCTCCGTGATGTTCGCCCTTCTTTCCGTAGTCTTCGTGATGATGATAATGTTCCTCATGGCCATGCTTTCCATGATGTCCCTTGTGATCCTCATCAAAGTGTCCTTTATCATGGTGGCCCTTCTTTCCATGATGATCCTCGTGATGACCGGAGTGGTGATGTCCACCCTTTTTATGATGTCCCTCTTTGCTTCCGTGATGTCCGTGATGGGATCCATGTTTCTCATGATGTCCGCCTTTGTGATAATCATCGTAGAACTTATGTTCCTTGTGATATTCATCTTTATGAGCTTTGTGATGATACCCATGAGTTTTTTCTCCTTTTTTGTGACCCTTCGAATGACCAAATTTAGAGCCCTTGTGGCCATGCTCATGCTCGTGATGATGGCCGTGATGTTCGTCCTCTTCGTGATGTCCCTTCTTATGTCCACCATGTTCGCCATGATGTCCCTCGTGATGTTCTTTACCATAATGGCCATGATCGCCTTTCTCGTGATGGTGAGAACCCTTATAACCCTTATCTCCTTTCTCTCCGTGTTCTTCGTGATGATGTCCATGGTGCTCATGGCCACCACCAGATTCGTGATGACCTCCGCCACCGCCGCCGCCGCCACCACCACCGCCACCACCACCACCGCCGTGGTGATGGCTAGCAGCTACTTCTAGATCTCGTTCGTCTTTTGCATTCTTTGCCGATGAGAAATCGACAATCGCATAGAGGAGAAAGAAAGCCAGACATATCCGAGACACGTAGCAAGCCATTGTTGGTACTTTGACGGACCAACGAGTACGATCGACTGACCAAGCTTCACTACACCTAAGCTTATATACTTGTTGCTCCGCTCCTGGATTCGTACGTAATCACTTTCGTTCCTTCTCATCGACTTGTCCACAAAGCGAGTTTCGCGTTTCGTAAATCTTCTTTCTATCATCTAGCGCCATCAACGAACGTGCTTTCTAACGTAAGTACTTTCGAAGCTTTTCGCAGAATACTTCTTTATTTTGTTTGATCAAAATCAACTTTGAAATATAAATATAAGGAAACCATTGAAGTTATTAAAGGAATAAGTTATAAGTTTAAATCATAACTTTTATTTCTCATGGTATTGTTGCATTGTTCTTTATCACATAAGTACACCAAAGGTTTGTACTTTATATTTTGATGGTAAGTATTTTTAAAAATACAATAGAAAAAATGCATTTTCGAAGGAAAACATAGCCTTTCAATCGGAATTATATATTCAGTAAATTTAGTATTCCTTCTTTTTTGTACGCCTATAACTCCTGCGAATAATATGTATCTGAAATAAGTTATAATTAAGTTGTTTTTATCTATAATATTTCGATTGTACAATGGCTTTTCTATAAACTTTTTATCTCGTTTTATCTTAGATTTTCACTGCATTTTTATCATAAAAGATCTTATTTTTGTTAGCAATTAAAATATTATTTATTGCATACAATTTTGTACTTAGATAAGTATCTTTTTATCAAAAGTTTAACGATTGGTGCTCAGGTAGATTGAATTTCAATATTAATACATTTTAATATTTACACTAAATGTGCTAAGTCATCTCGGATGAGGAAGAAAGTAGTGGTGGAAGTTCGAGATCGATCGAGAAGAGAAAATCTTTGATTAAAAGACGTCGGCGTCACATTTGTGCAAGCGTAGCGACGATTTCGATCGAGATTACATAACGTTCACGATCAACGAACTGCCTGAAGTCGATATTACGATTTAAACAGGTTAAAAAGACATAACTTTCGCAACAAACTAATCAGCCAAGAAAAGGAGGTATTGCTTCCCTAATATCGCCGATTATTCTCCGTTCTGTATATAATAAGAGAGTAGCGCTTGGCTTTATCACACCGACCGCAGCGTTGAAGCGAAAGGTGGGTGCTGACGAGTATAGCAAATATTCAATCGATACGATGAGGTGTTTTGCTTTGGTGATTTCTATCGTAGCGATTTCGATCGCTCATTCAATTCTGGTTGAAAGCCGAAAAGTTACGATAGATCTGTCGGACTTGGAAGTAGCTGCATCTGGTCATCATGAAGAAAAGGGTGGTGGCGAAGAGCATTTTTCCGATCATTATAGCAAACACGGTGAGAAGGGCGACAAAGGATATAAGGAGGAACATCATCACGAAAAGGGTGATAAGGGATACCATGACAAAGAAGGACATTCAGGACACTATCACGAGGATGAAGGACACAAGAAGCATCATCACCACGATGATGGTTACTATGCCGAGCATCATAAAGGTGAAAAGGGCGAAAAGGGCCATAAATTTCATGAGAAAGGCCACTACGGTAAGGGCCATAGTACCAAGGGGCATCACGGAGTTCATAAATTAGATGAATTTAAAAAGGATAAAGAATTCTTCGACGAACATCATGACTCTGGTCACCACGAGGATCACGGTGGTCATCATCACGAGCATGAACACAAAAAGGGCGGTCACTTCAAGAAGGGTCATCACGATTCTGGTCATCATGAGGATAAATATGGGAAAAAAGGTCATTACGAGAAGGGACATCATCATCACGATGAAAAGGGTCACAAGAGTGAAGGTGGACACGATGAACATTATGAACATCATTCCAAGCATGGTAAAAAAGGTGATCACGAAGATCACAAGAAATGGGGTTTTAAAGATGGACATTAAGTCGTAGCAATCACAATTATTGTTCCTTGTTGGATTATGTTTGTTTCTAGCTGTACTTTATTTGTATAATTACAAATTATCAAAATAAATATTTTCCTACGTACATAGGTAGAACATCAAAATCAAATCTATGAATAACGATTGAGATATACAGCATATAGAAATTTCAAAGAACATTCTTTATTAAAGATCTCTTATTACTTAAACAGTTCTTGTTCAACTTTTCCTGTTCATTTTTGCAGTGACAGCATTTTCGAATATTTGATTATGGTCACGCATTCTATTTTGTAGTTATAAACAGAAAAAAATGAGGTCACTCTTCAAGCTTTCATTTTGAAATAAAAATAATTTTATATAGTCATTTATCCCTTTCTTGAGTATTAAGTAATATTGCCGTACAAATACGAGCGATTTTGATGCAATCATTAAATTGGTAAATATCGTTACTTTCACCCTATTTGTTTCAGTTTTTATATACAATCAAAGAAAAAGTTAATCAATGATCATTGAAATAAGAAATAAAACTACTTAAAATCGATTTAATTTTATAGTATTTAAAAATATCTTATTTTACATATTGGATCATAAATTTGCATTGCAAATTATCAAAAAGTAATTTTATAGAAATTGTTAGAATTGTTGAATAATATAGTAATAATAACTATAGTAATTTTGCAAATTAGTAATAGCTTATACAACAATAGATTTTACACGAAATAATTGATAAATAAAATCAAGCAGAAAGAAGTGATAGATCTTTAACAATAATTTAATAGTGCTTGTTTAAATACAATGAATCACCTTTCACTTTTGACGTACTATGTTCATCTTTCTTTAAAAATGCATCATTCTCGATATAATGCTCTTTTCCGCTAGCTTCCCTATCGTGTCCTTGAGCAGTACCATATTGATGACCATTGAGAAATATTTCCTTTTGTGCGTGTTCGTTCTCGTGGTAACCTGCATCCAACTTTTTGATGTTCTTTTGTTCACCTTCCGCTTCTTCGTGTTCGCTGTTCTCCGAGCTATAACTCTCTTCGTGTTCGTCGACATGCTCGTTGTCATAAAAGGACGTGTCCTTTTTGTATTCGTCCTTGTGGTAAACGTTATGAAACCCCGACGTTTTGTGACCTTTTTTATGACTCTCGTTTTTTCCATGACTTTCGCTCGACAGTCCCTTTGCAGCAGATTCATTTTTGTCGTATTTCAGATCTTCTTCCTCCTCGTCCTTTTCAGTTTCAGCAATGTCTTGTTGATATCCAAAAAGATGAGATTTTTCGATAGCTTCCTTTTCGTCTTTATCAAAATCTTCGGTTACTTCGTATCTATTGCCGAGTTTCTCGACGGCCTCAGTCTTTTCTTCGTCTTGGTATCTTGAAATATCGCCAATAGCAAAATTATATTTGTCTTCAACTATTTCGTTCTTAAATTCATTTTCTAAATTCAATCTCGGTATAACGATGCCATCGGTGAGAAAATCATTTTCCAAAATATTATACGGAATATTTTGTGTTCCTATCGACTTCCTTAAATTGTCAGTACCTAAATTAGAATGCAGTCTGATATTCGTACCACCAAGACCTAGTTTGCTTCTCGAAAGTTTATAATTTTCTGCATGTCTTGGTAAACCATAATATTGAGAGCGAGTGAGGCTTCCTTTAATGCGAAATCCATCGCTTCCATCGTAATCGAATTCTTCGATGTTGCCAAGGCTACTATCCTGTCCACCTAAACGTCGTAAACTCGATTCCACGCCAAGGGTACCTGATGCAAATATACGTATAATCCATAGTGATTACTATGATTAAAATGATATCGTTCAATTTTATTATAGTCGTTAAATAACTGGAACGATTACAAGATATTTATTAAAAAGAGATTCTAATGAATACCTTTGCCGATATTTTTAATTTTATACTCGTTTGGATAATTGAATCCATAAATCGAGTTAGCCACATTTAAATTGGAATTTTCAAATCCATCGCCTTTAATAAAAGGCTCAAATTCATCTGTTCCACGCTCGTCAATTGTGTCGTATCGTTTAAACTCATTTCCTCTTCTATTAAACGCGTATTCACTGCTTGACGTTTTCATATCTTCCACTATTGATTTGTTTAAATTATTTTTAATTTTTTCGGGTTCCTTCACCTCGATTCCTTCGCATATCAGCAAACATATTACACTCACGACATAACAAACGTCCATTTTCATAATTGTTAACATAATTTTATGTTATTTTATATGCTTTCAAAGATAGAACTTCGAGAGTTCGAATGACGCGTCTCTGATTACATATACATGATTTAACGACTCTTTTATAGGATACATCATTTATAATAACCAATAACAAAGACGATACGTAAAATTATATAGATTGTTTTATCAGACCATATTTCCTTTTAGATTTCGAAAATAAATCGCATATCCGTTATTTCGATGGTAGAGCTCGATTTATTGACCGTAACGCGACATTATCTCAAAAAATTAGCTTCGATCGGTATACGCTTCACTGTTTTGTTTTTAATCCGGAGCACGAACTATTCTAATTTAGAAAGTAGAATACCACGGGAATGCACAACAGCCGGTATTACATCACTGTCTTACTTGACAGTTACTCACTTCGGTGCTACGCTAATTGATCGATGAATACCTTGAAAGAGGGTTAGTCTGGCAATACTACGAATTTCACGTGTTATAAGTATCGACGAAGCATTACAAAAATGTGAGCTATGATTGACAATGCTCTGTGGTGATCTATTTGTTAGTCACATATAATACATTGTACATTCAAATACATTCTATCACGTTTGGATTATGTTCTTTTTTGAGTATGCGGGACAGACACACACAAATGGATATATTTTTGTGGCGTAATTTAGCGCAAATTATAAAGTATGAAAGAAATTTATGAAATCAAACGTTACATTAAATTATTTCTTATATTATTCCAAATACATGTCGTAGAATAATAATAGCAAAGTAGATATATCAAATAAATATTTACATTATTTATCAATGATCGTTGTGAGCTTTAGAAAAACCATGTTTCTTTCCTACTTCTTTTTTATCTTCTTTCAAATAATCAGAGTAATCTTTATGATAAGAATCTTCGCCCTTTTTGGAATGGTGTCCTTGATTGTGACTAATATCGTGACCCTCATAGAAATCATCTTTCTTCATCTTATCCCAATGATCGAAGCCAGAATCGTGATTAGAACCCTTTTTAAAATCACCCTCTTTTGCATTATGATGCTGGTCGAAGGCAAAGTGTTTACTGACCTCCCCGTCTTTGTGGCTTTCATCGTAAAATTCCGTGTTCTTTTTATATTCGTCTTTATGATAGACTTTGTGGAAACCATTAGTCTTTCCTCCTTTTTTATGATACGAACTGTGTTCATGTTTGGCACCTTCTTCACCCTTCTCCAAGTCATCGTGTTGACCATAGGTATTAGATGTATCGGTGTGTTCTTTTTTGTGACCACCCTCTAGATTGTAGTGGCCTAGAAAAACAAAGTACATAGAAGTAAGTCATGTATTGCAAAGTAGACGTTTTATTTATAATTTTGTATAAGAATATTGTTTTGTCTTATAAAAGCAAAATACAAACCAGCATTCTCGGCCGTATCATAAAGTTTTTTCTGTCCTTTGTCAAACTCGTCATAGCTATTATGATCACTATCACCCTTTTCCCCGTAAGACGAATGCTTTTCGTCGGAGTATTGTTTATCTGATTTAGTTTTAAGGAAAGATCCTGCGTCTGTTTGGGCATTATCAAAATCAGCTTGATCTTTATCATATAATTTTAGAGTATTTTTTTGAGGATGCTCTAGATAAACATGCTTGAATCCTTTCGATGGAAACGAGGAGTAATGAGTTTCATGAGTATCGTTATATCCACTGTCGTCATTATCATCGCCCTCATCGTCATCATCTTCATGATCATCGTCTTTGTGTTCATTGTTATATTCCTCCTTTTCATCGTCATCTTCTTTCTTATTCTTCTCGTCAGTATGATCTTGATTACCATCTTCTACTTCTACTTTTTCATTACTCACAGGCACGTGATAAGATGCCAAAGGTTTCCCTGAGACAACGTAGACACCTTGTCCTGTCACGTGATCATTACCCAACTTTATGTAAGGCAATTGCTGTTGCACGTAGAGACTCGGCTTCTGTCCTGCGTAAGCATAAGAGATTACAGGCTTTTCGTAGAAACCCGCCGTTTGAGGAACCGATACAGCAACAGGTGCTGCAGTACCCACACTACTACCATAATGCAATGGCGTATCGTAGTAATGTCCGTTCCCATAATTGTACTTGTAATGTACATAGGTCACAGGATAGTCTTGTTCTTGCTCGTACGTGTAACCCGTAGCAGAAGACACAAGGTCGGCCATACTCGTTTTCGAGATTGTCATCTTTTCCATTTTCGTTGATGATCCATCGTTGAATCCGATCGAGATCAATACAAGGATCGTCGTGATCGCAATCATAATGAATGCAGAATAAAATCGAGATTTGGCAGGTTCAGTCGAAGGTGGACTCGCTTACTCTGGCACCTATGCTAGTAACTGGTTTAGCTTTTATATACGCGTTGGTAACAAAAGTCCTTCAATCAAGGTAAACGTTCTCGCTCCTTTCTATGTAACTATCTCATGGTCAGCAAAGCAAATTCAAGTACAAAGTGTTATTGACACTCCAATTATCCTGCTGTGATTGTTCCTATAAATCGATCAGATTTGCGTAACATAGTTTCAGCAGGATGTTAAAATTTCAGCTGGATTAAAACATGGTTTATCATTGCCATTAGTATATCTAAGTTATTTAGAGAAAAGATATTTACGCTACTTTTTTAGTCACGCTAGATTCAATGTGGTAGTATGATACGCAACATTCGTTCACGTTTTTGCGTCGATTGAGGATCATTTTCTACGGACGAACGAGAGAGTGTTCTGTGAAACATCTTGGGCTTATGCTCAATGATATTTTCTCGCGAATTTTTATAACTCAGCATTCTAATATTATTCATGTTTCGTTGATGCTATGTATAGATCGATATACGTTTATAGAAAATGTGTCACGTTTTTCTTAGAACTAGAAAACAAAATAATAAAAATAACGTGTCAAGGCTGAATTGGATTAAAAGCTCAAATGGATACAACGAAGCCCGTGTGAGCTTCTCGTTTTCGAGAGTAGTTATTCGAGAATAGTCGAACGAAACTGTTCGACTTTCAACGAATCGAGCAAAGTAGGACGACCTTGAGAAGAACGTGCCGGCTTATGATTTCTATAAGAGACATCTCGGTGAGATCGCGCAAAATCGGTGGAAACCAAGTTTGTCCGCAGCATCACTAGTCTTGAGAAGTACCGTCCTTTCAGATGTACTCCACCAGTTCTGGGCAAGAGCCAATCGAGCGCGGGCGTTCCGGCGATCGGTCAGGAGATATAAAAGAGCTCGCCACATGGAACAGTGATTACAGTTTATTTCAACGCAAGAATCGAAACGCCGCGAGTAGACTCAACGCGATATAAGAAAAAGAAGAAAGAAAACCATACAGAAAGATAGAAAGAGAGAGAGGAAGAGAAAGATAGAGAGAGACAAAGAGAGAGAGAGAGAGAGAAAGAAAAAAATACCTAGTCACGTTGACGTTGCGTTTTTCCTAAACGCGAGCGCTCGAGAAAGAGAAAGAAAAAGAAGTAAAACCTTCTGTTTTATCACAAACACGATAAACTAGACACGTCAGGTGTAGACATAGAGAAAGGAGGATGAAAAACGTGTGGGGGTTGTACTGGTACGTTCTCTGTGTCGCCATTGTTCGCGTTTCAACATATTCTGTGAATAAAAATAACCAAACACAATCTGATCTTGAAGCTTTTTCTACCGATTATATCATCAAAGATTTGTCACCAGTTAAATTTGTTGGTGTGGATAGAAGTCTGGAAAATTTCGATGATGAGCCAATCCAAAGAAAAAATGCAAAAGAACCTTTAATTTTGGAACCTGACGCAGAAATGTTACCACCTAATTACAAAGGTGTTATACCACCTGGCGTTGATCACATGGAACTTGTTCTTGGTGAACCACAAGTAATGGCTACCGATTCGAAGGCTATTAAATACATGTTTTCAAATCAAGGAGTAAGGAATGAAAAGGGTCGTAAGAAAACGGTTAAATTTGAAAAGAGCTTAAAGGGTGAGAAAGAAAACGAGAAACAGAAGAAAGATTATGCCGAAGCGGTTGGCAAAAAGAAAGCACATACCGTCATTAAAAACAATTTTAGTGGTCGAAAGGATCAGGCATTCAACGAGAAAGGTGGAAGCTATGAGATTGAAGGTAATCGCAATAAAGGTCACAACGCTGCTGGCTTCCACAATGTTTATCATAAAGACGAATACAAAAAAGATGCCAATTTTTATGACAACGATCATCAAGGTGGACAGTTCAAGAAACACGGAAGATATGGCGAGAAGCACGATTCTCTCGAACGTTCCTACAAGAAAGGCTTAGGTCACGATTCAGCGTTCGATTTGGCTGAAGCCAAAAAAGAAGGAAAATCGAAGAAGTCTCGGGTCAATGAAGAAACCCAAGGTCATGTTGCTGCGCAAGGCTACGATGGCTTCTTTCATAATCTTGATGAATTCGTTAAAAAAGTAGGACTTGCTAAGGATTAAAAGTACTCACTGATAGACATGGATGCATTTTAATAAGGTGTATTCTATTATTGTTGTATACATGATTAAAGATCGTAGACTCAAGTATTATTGTTTATTAAAGAGATTTATATTTATTTATTACACGTTGCTAGATAACATTTACATCTTAATTAATGAAATGATAAATCTTTAAAATATGTGTTCTAATTCTTCTCGTTCGATAACGATAAGTTACAAAAAATGTATTTTATAGCATTTACGTATACTGTAAACGATTAGAATATTTGTAGACGATACATGTATTGCACGTATAAAGATTAGAAAGATATTATAACCATGTCTCTTCCTTTTGACAAATTTGCTTTGACGTATCGATTTCTAAGGGGTTACGTTGCAGGTGTAAAATAAAATCAAGAGCACAGCAGAGTCGTATCGATAATCGATACATTCCCAAGGGGACAATACCTCGATCGGATTGCAGGTTCATCTTGACGCATTGTCCTGTTCCTTGATAACGACCACGGAGCAACCCCCGACTAGGTTTCCCACGGTGAACAACGTGATTTGCCGACGATGGTTACGTTGATTAATGGATATTAATAATGTTCGCCATTGTTGCCGCAATAAATTGTGATTTTTCGTCGCGGTTAGCTGGGACGTGAATAAAAGGTGATAATTGATGCATCGCTCGCTTGGACGAGAAACGAGGGGCTGAAGGAGGAGAAGGCAGCTTTTCAGGCAGGTAACATGCGCGAGCGCGCACACGGACACATTCGCATCCTCCTGTATTTTGACTAGGGTGAGAATAGTTGAGGTACCATTCCCTTCGTGGTTCAGTGAGCTCCGGTTCCGTGCATTCATCAACAATAAGCCGCAGCAACCCCAAACACACTCCTCCCTTTCCTCCTCCTTTTCCCAATCTATGTGTATGCATGCACGGTTATGAGTAGGTCCACGTGTTTATGTATACGCGTGTGTGTTTGTTTGTGTGCATGGATGAGTGTGCATCGTAGGTTGTGGAACGCGTTTGGAATACATAAATCAGGTGCGCCAGTCTGCAGACTGCTGCCAGCCATATCACTTGGCACAACGGCTATGAATGAATAGAGCCGTACCTGAATTATCGTCCGCCTTTGCAGATACTGAGAGAACGCTTGTGCACGTTCCACGGCGACAACGGGTAAGCAAGTGTGGTTTTAAACCTTAATCTTCAAGCGTTGGATAAAAATATGATAAAGATGATCCTGCTAATGTTCTTTTACTTTCATGGCTAATGTTTTTGCTAAATTCGTTTTCAAAAAAAAATATTTTTTAACGTGTCAATTTTTAGAAAGTGTTAAAAATTGAGTTATTTTCGATAAACAATAATTGATCTTAGTTTGAAATAGGCCACGTTAACATTTTCTTTAATATCTAATGACATTTGTAATGACGTTTGTAAAAAACTATTTATTTTTATTGAGATTATTGTGTAAGAAGTGCGATACAAGTGAAAAAAATTACCGCAAAACGACTGTATCAGTTCTAGAAAAAGAACAAACTAGAAACACGTTGGAATCTTTTCGATCACGTCGTTTCAAACGAATCCTTCGATTTCCGAAAGAAATGCAATTTATCTTACGTTAATCTTTCTCCGAGTAAGCCAGGGTGAAGGAGGAGGATGAGGAGGAGAAAGAGGAGGAGGAGAATGAGAAGGAGGAGGTGAGCATTCCTTGCGCCGTTTTTCTCTACCTTCTTTTTATTCGTTTTATCTGAGAATAAAACAGTTGAGAAGTGTTCGTACAATTTCACGAGGACGAGGGTTCGATGTTGAGGGCTCGATCACTTTCGTATGAAAGTTTATTGTCTCACGGATACTCGCAAGAACTACATATACATCGTTAAAAGAATAGAAACAGAAATAGCAAGAATTTTAGTGTTTCGCGGTATCGTATCGCTTGTACTAATACTCATTTTATGTTATTAACAATCGTATTTTCCTGTTCAAATGTCGTTAATTTCGAATGAATATTATATATAATATATATGTTTATTATGTACAAAATTTAATTTCAAAAGATGGCAGATCTCATCTATTTCAAAATACTTCAGATTAGTTTCTTAAAAAGTTTAACCTATGCGATTTTGGCTACAAATCGTTGAAGTATCGCTACGGTCGACGAACGGTAAACCACATTCACACGTATAGCTCCGTTATTTGTTTTATATATGCTATCTATCGGCATTTTAGTCGATAAATATATTTAGCAACGTGCGCACGAGCAATTCCTATCTTTTATTTACGCATTATTTCACGAAGCGAACGGTTTTCACGGCAGATCGACGATGAAATATAGAGAAACATGGTATCGTTGCTTTCAAGATTAATCGCCAATACTAAAACTTTTCAAGACGTCAAACTTTTTCGGAGTATCGAAAAACTTCGATATTTGCAATCTCGTTTTAATGCTTCGGAAAAGCATACAATATGCATTTGTCCCGTGAGTAATATTCAAAAGAATAAAGTTAAAATAATTTAAACAAGCTATTCTATTTTCTTCAATTTAACTTCATTTATAATCGTAATCTTCGAAAATAATAATTTTTATTTCAGGAGCCGCCAACTTATATTACTCGCTTGGCAATGCCTATTGATTATGACAATGTAATAAATTTCATGTGCAAGACTTATTTTAAAGAGGAGCCAAGTATTGTAAATATCGGTCTTAGTAATATATCACCAACAGCTTCCATATTGAAGATCTTGCAAGAGAACCTTAAGAACGGCATGACGATAATCGCAGAAAATCAACTCCGTTGCATAATCGGTGCTGCTGTAAACATTTGTTCATGTCCGTGGGAACCAAAAAAAATTAAGGAATATGCGAAATGTTGCGAGGAAGAGGGTCTAGTGCGCGACCTGATAGAGTTTTATTCTTATGTATCTCTTAAGCCAGATGTTTGGAATCGTTATTGCGTTCACAAGGTGTTTGAATGCAACTATGTGGCGGTTGACCCAGAATATCGCGGAATGGGTATAGCCAAGAAGCTCATTGAAGAGAGTTGGTATCTCGCACGAGATTGTAGTTATCGATTGTTCCGTATCGACTGTTCTAACATGTGAGCCTGACTCTGTAATATCTATCATTTAAGCATCAAAAGCATTCAAAGCATCGAACAATAATGATTTCTCTTCGAATCGTCAATTTTTCATAATATTGAAATACCAGTATTTCAAAAGTAGTACAAGATCGAGTTGTTCTTTCAATTCGAACATTCGTTCCTTTTCTATTCTTTAACTTAAAATTATTATTTCGAACTTGAAATATTGTATTTGTATTTTGTATGTACGTTTTTTTTACGTAGATATACAGCTATAATCGCAGAAGGTTTTGGATGGACTAAAATATGTACGATACCTTATTGTCGATACGTCAAGAATGGCGAAATGGTATTCCAAAATATACAAGAACCTAATACAGAAATTAAAGTTTATATCGATCATGTCAAGTTTCTTAATGCATACCATCTGCCATATAAAAGTTGTAAGTTCAAGTGATCCGTTCAAAGATATACAAGAGGAAGAGATAATCTCTTTTAAAAAATTATCTAAGCTTCTTTATTTAATGTCTCACTGTTTTATTGCTTGTAATATTTCGAGAGATAAACTTGTTCGCTAGGTAAGATGTAATAAATATATATTTTCTGTATTCTCGTCTACTAATTCGAAAACGTGCTCTGTTCATTTCGAAATATTTCTGGATCTGGAGAATCTGGAGAAAGTGTGATTCAATGGTATTAATAAATATTAATAGGTTTTTGCATAATATAACGTGTATATAGTCTTACTACTTTGTACTTACAATAATTGCTACATATCTCTTTTATTATTCATATTCTATTTTATTAAATTATTATTATTATCCATTCTTTCTCACGTGACATTTCATGTATACAAATCATGACATTTATTGTATACAATGAATTCTTATAACATACCTAGCAACGGAGATTAAAATTCATCGAGATATGCTATAAAGTATATGAAATAGGTGTTTAGAATGAATGAAACCCGTAAGTTTAAAAGTTATATTTTTCGTCAGTATCCACGGTGAATAAATTCAGAAGGATATTTCGGCGCTCTCTTGGCTTGAAGATAAAGTGGAATTGTTGTGCCGTGAGCGAAATACATCGGGGTAATGCGAAGTGCCCGCAATAGTGGGGCTCTACGGGCGTGTTTACGAGAGGGTTGTTCGTGGGGGGTTGCTCGCATGCATCATCGGTGCAACTAGAGATAAATTCTGTACGCGCTGTGCTCTAGTGTGTACGTCGTCTTTACTTTGGTCTTAACTAAAATCCATTAAAGCCAACGATTTATTACAATACCCTTACCTTTCATACGATATGTGTGCGCGTACTCGCTCAGAAGGTAGGCTAACGCTTCCTGGCCATCTTCAGACGCAGTTTAAACGCAAATTAATGACGTCGACGTAAATTCAGTGAGTATAACTATCTATGTACTTACCTGTGTACCAGTACTTTTTATTTTTTATTTCATCAACCGTTTTAGATTTATGAAAGCAAGAGGATGAGAATGGTGAGTCGGACGTATCGTGTAACGTACGAAGATTGTTTCTGACATAAAAAAGAAAAGAATTCTATTTATGAAACATGAAATGAAGCTTGAACACTTTGATAAACACGTTTTTGAAACGTCGCTACGATTTCTAACTTTAAGTTATATAACATATTCATGAAATCATTATTACAGCGTTAAGTATTATTTTAATAAAATGCGTATATTATTTAAGAAATCTATGTACATCGGTACTTGATGTTGCATGAAATTCAACAAGTAGTTTTCTATCTATAACTGTTTGTTGCAAAATACGCGCTTTCAAAGATAGAGAATATCGATTCATCTTCTTTAAACGACAGCACTGACCTATTTTCTAAATGCTGCCATGGCCGAGAACAGTTCCGAGAATTTATATAGGACAGAGATGCCCGTATACAGGAGACTTAACGTCGTGACGGTAAAACATCTTTTTTGTGCTTTATTCGAGCTACCACTGGCGTCTCTTCGAACTAAAAATTCATGTATCTAAGAGTCAGCTCTATTCAGATAGGATAAAGGATAAGCTGCGATATGGAATTCATTAACACCACGTTGCAGGGAGTTCTTTATCGTTCAACAGATTTCTAAGAAATCATCTAGGTCAATATAACAGTGTGACAACGTCTCGTTCTATATGCTGATGAGTACATTTTTACGAAGTCAAATAAAAGTGTTGGGTATATAACTTAGATGACATTTTTTGTTGATATACGATCATATAAAGGCATTCAAAATTCGTATGACTTTTGAAGACAAGATAAGATCTTTAGTGAGTCATCAACAACTTGTGATTGCTGTCTCTCTGAATCTCTCTCTCTCTCTCTTTATTTACAGACCACACCCTACCAATCTTTTCTCTCTTATGTACTTTTCAAAAAGAACCTTCTGCCGATCTTGAAACTGTAATGATTAATGAAGTTAGAAGAGCTATGCGAGGTTCCGTAATACCGTGGCAACTATCGAGTCGGAATTACAGTTGAGAAACTTCGAGGTGAGTTAGGAGAGTGCGACGTCGTTTCGGTTGGAGGATTCTCTCGTCGCCTTAGCTGCCTTGGCTGCTTTGGCGCAGCCATCCGACCACGTATCAAACTCGATTTGATTTTGATTCGACATACAGTGGAAACGCATTTAATACCTACTAACCCCTGCATCAGGTACTCTTATGATGAGAACGTATGTGTGGTATTCGCTATGATGCTGACTATGTATTTTTAATATCTCTAAACCTAATTTTTTCTAAAAATTGAAATATTATATAAGGATGTACATTTTTTGTTATAATTTATATTTTACTTGCCTTATACTTTTATTATATTAAATATTTATGAATAGATCTTTCGGATATCTCATCCTTATTAATTATTGCAACACATAAAAATTTCATAGAAAAAAATTTCATCAGTTGTAGCTGATTCGAAAAGCTACAACTGGTAAATTTAGAAATAATTTATTCTCTCATACTCTCAATTCTTTTATTCGAAATAAGATTATTAAATTCTGTTTGCTCATAAACTTATAGACGTTAAAAAATCCATTGAAACTCAACATCTCTGTTATAATTAAAATATAGTCAACAATAGAAAAGTCAAGCGTTGATAAAAATATCTTTTTCATAAACGTGACTTTTTGTGACATTTCTTTTTATATTTGTTACTTTATATTTTTAAAAACTGTTGAAAGATATCGCGATTGTAACAACTTCAAAGCCAAAGTTATATTAATCTTAATTAAAAAGTAGAATGTCGAAAGCTTAAAGGACTTGTCCATTTTATGTAATATAATTAGTACTCGATTTAATTAGATTCAATATTCTGACTATATTTTTAATTAATTTCAACTTATGTACATTCGTAAAATGGATTTTATTTTTTTTGCAAATGGATATGATATTGATCTCTATTTATAAATATTACTTATCTTGCAAACAAAAAAGCATGCATCAATGGAACCTTAATGGACGAAGTAAGGATCACGATGCATTTGAGAAGCCGGTGTTAAGGCGCTTAATCTGCATAATTCCAATCCCACAGTGCGAAACGTTCGTCGGTGCATTTCTAGGAACACGCGTTCGCGTCTAGTAATTCCCGTCTAACATTGGGAATTGTTTGCCGAATTGAAATAGTTTGAGTTGAGACATCCGCCCTTATCTACCATCAGCTGGGTACCTCTCTCCTTCGGTCCACATTTTGTGATCATATATGTAGAGAAATTACGAGATAGAATTGAAATGGTGAAGCGAAATTCTTCTTCTGAAGAATATCCAGTCTGAAGACTGGACTTCAATTAACGAACGAACATTCGAATAGAAATTAGAACATTTGCTCGTATTTGATTGTATATATTTAAATTAAAAAATCTACATGATCTTTGACTCATAACATCTTTGAAGTACCTTTATGAAAGTTTGATAACATTTATACGAAATATTACATTACTTACTGAGGTTAAATAACTAATGAAAATCATACTTTAAACATCACTTAAAACTGAAGAACGTCGAGGACCTTTAATTTGGTCTCTTCAAACTGGTCCAAGTTTCAGTCAAATTAGCCACGTAATGAAATCAACGAATTAACTCTCGGTCGGCATCTCAACGAGTAGCGTTCAAGATAGAGTGCAAAGAGAATTCTCAAATATCGTTTGATGGTGTATCGTTTTGTGAGATCATACCATTTTCCGTTCTTTATACTTCAAAGAGCTTTCAGGTGAAAAAATGTTATTATTAGGAATTGTAAACATTTCTTTTCTCCTGGACTCTATCAATTTTGTTAATGAATCGATTATTTTAAACGATATATTTTCTTATTTATTTATTTTATGGGTAATAAGTTCAGCTTGAATCTTTGGTTTATCTGAGTAACGTGTTGCTTTTTTGAGAAACAAGAAAGCGTCTTTCGAAGAAAAGAATAAATGTTCTATCTTACTCTTACGATTTTCTTTCCATCTCTCTCATTCTTTCTCTTCCTGTACTTCGTCGAAGATATAAACCTCGTTGATTCGTCGGACGTGTCTCCAGGTGCAACGGACAACGCACTAACCGGCGATGGAATTGGATTTCGCTGTCTTATGGTTCGTGCTCGAAGACTGTTACCGTTTTCCTACATGGATCTCTCTCTTTCTCTTTCTACCAACCTTTCTATCTTAGCTATCTTTTTCTTTTGTTCTATTATTTCCTTTCTTCTTTTCCACTATTTTTCTCTATCTTTTATTCCTTTTTTCCCATTCTTTTTCTTTCCGAAAGACGACACCGACGATCCAAGCTGTGCACGTAAATACAAGGCAGTTTTAGAAAAGAGGCGTAAGAAGTTTTAGAAGAAGAAGTTAGAGTGAGCGTGAATTCGGAGAATACGAATAGTCTCGGAACATTTGTACGAACGTTGCCTTTCCACGTTGTTCTACGCAGTAAGCACGATTGTTGCATACCAGCTGCAGATGGCTGAAGTTCGTCCGGCCAATCTCTACTGAAGCGTAGGTAATTTTCATGTCAGCAGATAATTTCAACCCTTTCACAAGCGACTAGCTCCGACAACAATTCTGAAAATTTAAATCTTCTTTGATAATGGCAACGGTAATTTTACAATTTCTTTTTATAACGTTTCGATTACTTTAATTAAAAGTCGTAAATTTGCCATTTCGCTTTTTCGATTATTTTCTTCACTTTATTTTCTACGTTTGCTTTCTTTTTATCTCCTTTCGAACTTTTTCTTATAGTTTTATTCGTTATTCGTTCTCATTTTCAACGCGTTGAAAGATTCTTTTGAGAAATAATTCCAAGAACCTCTACGACACGAAAGATATACACGTCTGATTACTTGCGCATGATGATAACTCTTTCGAAGACGCCATTTCGTCCCTCGCATCGAATAAGTACATACGAACAGACGTGTATAATCATGAAATTCGTCGAAATTATTATATATAGACACATTTCCGTTCGTTCCAGCTTCTTACTCGTTTTATCTTTTTCTTTCGTTTTTACTATCATATTTTTCTAGTTTTCTTTTCTCCCTCTCTTTCATTTTCTTTTTACTATTCTTTTAGATATGTTAAGCTTTTCGCCATATTCCGACTATTCGCCTGCAAGTTGAATCGGTGAATATATTCTTTTGAGGTAATCTAAGAAAGCCGTTATTTATGTAGAGAACGACTTCTTATTTTCAGGATTTTCTTTCCGTCGTACGATACGATTTTTATCAGTACCCTTTGAAAGCAGTCGTTATTATTATTTCGTTTCTATTTATTGTATTTATAATACAAATTTGTATCAGAATTTAAACATAATGAAATGTTTACGTAATAAAAATAACAATAATTATTATTAATATCTACTAGTAATTTTAACTCGAAATAGAAAATGAGATTAATAATTCGATATATATTAAGTATAGTAATTTCATATATATATATATATATATATATATATATATATATATATATGAAATATATTTGATTAATAATTTTATGTATATTTAATATTATACAGAAACAATATTTTCCAAATGAATAACATGAGACATTTATGTAATGTCAAAAAAAAATAAATACACACATTTACTCGTGTAAACATTGAGGAACACGAAGGACGAAAAAAAGCCGAGGGCTGATGAAATAGTAGATAAAATGAAAGAGAGAAATAGAGAAAGAAAAAAAAAGACGAAAATACCTCGCCTACCGAAATTGGGTTTGGAGATGTACGAACCGCAACAGCAAAGTCCATTACATCAATTTGCTCCTATTCTCGGAATTGTATAGACCTGACAGACACGTTCAATGTCATACTTAAATTGTTTTTAGATTGTTCATATTCAAGTGATACACTTTAACGATATCGATTCTTACAGAATATTCTAATTTTTCATTTAACAATTATCTTGATCTAAGCAAAAATAATTCACAAAAAAAGATAAAATATTTCGATGTTCGTTCTTCTTCTCTTGGTAAAATCTCTATTAAAGTTTTTTAATTATTTCGTTATCTTCTATAATGAGAAAATATATCGGATTTTCTTTTTGGAGAAGTATGACGGGAAAAGAAGAAACAAACAAGGAAGGACGTTAATTTCTTTAGTATTCTCTTTTGATTTTTTTTTTTTTTGATGAATGTTTCCTAAATAAGATCTTTGGCCAGCTCATTTGAAAATTGAATTAGTTAGTACAATTGTTGCATTGAGAAAAATTATCGCAATAGAACACAATTTGTTCGATATAATCGGGACAATTTTCTTATTAGAACTTTTCTCATTATCACTGAAAGACTTTATAGTATATTATATGGTAGATATAATTTTTAACTTTGTACTCACGTAAGAATTATATCTCTTTTAGTTTGATTTCTCCAAACGTTTACTTGCACACGGCTTTTCATCGCTATAAATAGCGGTACAGTTTGTCGGTTTATTATGTTTGCACCGAACGCTTCCGTGTACGATATATCACATGCTCGAGAGATAACATAATCCGCGGAGCAGGAACGACGATGAAAAGCTCGCGTCCTCGGCTTTGTGCCCGCTTGTGCGTGTTGTAATCGTCTAGTGTGATGGTCGCGCGACCATTACATGTCTTTCTCTCTTACACATATTCACAATATATGTGAGTATCACGAGACGTCCAAAGTGTGGTGAGCTTGCAAGCTTCATGCAGGTGTCTCAAATGAGACCTCACGATACGGACAGCTGCGGCAGTGCGTTATAAACATCCGATTAACGTTCTTCTCTTTTTCTCTTTTATTGTTTCTTTCTCTCTTTCTCTCCTTTTCTCTATTAAGATTTTACAGTGGCTTAAACTCAAACAGTCACACCGACGTAATTTCAAACGAGATATTCCATTAATCGTTCCTTTGTCTTTTTCTATCTTTACTATCCTCTCATTCTGTTACTTATTCCAACAATGTACAATTTTATCTTGTTATTTGTTATTGTGACATTTATGATTAATGACGGTTATAATTCTCACGAATATGTTATTAATTTTCTTGTAACTATTAAATATACCTTTCAGAATGAATTTGTTTAACATAATATTTAAAAATGGAAAGAATAATAAGACATTATATTATGATGTATTAACGGAACCAAACCATTTTATATTCAAAAAACTACTTTTTTTAACATTTTAGTTAAAAACTAACAGTTTACAGCATCTAATATACATGTAATGTAAATGTATCTATGTGTACGTGTGTTTATATAAATCATTTGTTTTATATTCTAAACCGTTTTTCAATATTTCGTGATAAATGTGTGAATATACGATAAAAATGTGCGAGGTAATCCGGATAAAAATAATCAGAAATATTAAACTACGTTTACCAAAGAATTTGTTCCATGGTTAAGCACAATAAAATATTGTTGGGATTATATCGCACGACGAAGAATTATAATGGAACGGCAGAAATGATTCGATAAACGATAAATACTCATTCCGTCAAAACTTATATTTTAATTGATCGTCGATAAATAGCGATTATGTGCCGTAATGCAAGGCCTTTTTTAAATAAATATTTATGACACGAGCGAGTTATGATCGTTATGTTATTAACATTCATTATCCGTATTAATAAAAAGAGAAATAAAATACGAAAGAAAAATATACAAAATGTACGGATATTTAACGTTAAACAAAAATTCGTTATAATATTGATTATACATGGTTATCTATTAACGGCCATATATTTTCTCAAATTTTTTGTCAGCGCCATAAAGATTAAATGTATTCGTATTATAATTTATGGATCAATGAAGTTTAACGCATTTGGCAAAGCTCACATAACTCTGGAGAGTTTCCAGAGGGCCGCGTTTGTTGGCATTTTGGAAACGGCATTAATTCTTCGCCTTAATTGGTTTTCGTGAAGCAAAACATTAGCTATGTATCTAAAAAGTATAACAGTGTCTTAAATTTGTCTCTCTTTAACGTGTTTTCTTTCAACGCGATATTAGGCATTGATTTATACGAGATAGATACATATAAACATTTGAAAATCTTGCAGTTTTCTATATTTACACTTTCCAAAATAGATGTGTATAATAAATATGTACATAAATTTCTGGATGTTTCTGTTCTAGTTCGTAGTAACATTAAAATCTATAAAAATGTAACACTTGGAAAAATCAATTTTTAACTCGCTTAAGCTATCGTACCGTGCGGATGTAATTACGGGAGTCGATGCTGTATTCACTTTTCTCGCGCTAATGTAATGGCAAATATTTACGAGCGGGTACTTCGCGAGTTTCCGGTTGGAGGAAGTAGAGGAGAGGGATAGAAAGAAGAAGAAGGAGAAAGAGAGAGAGAGAGAGAGAGAGAGAGAGAGAGAGAGAACTTTCTTCCATACTACCAGCATCGAAGCATATTTGTCAAGGGCTATTTATACGCCTTCCGTTACCGTCGGTACTTTAATGAAAATACTTTCTTCTCGTTCCAGCCTCGCCCTCTTTTCTCCTCGCCCCTTTCCTTTCCGCTATCTTAGTGCCTTCTCTCCCTCAGTCACTCTATCCACGCCACTCCACACTGTCGGTGGTGTCTATTTTTCTGTCTCTTGATTCCTTCCACCAGTCCTCCCTCATTTTATTCATTCCCTCTCTTTCTCTCTCTCTCTCTCTCTCTCTTTCTCTCTCTCTCTCCCTTTCTTCTTATTTTTCCTGCCTATCTCTCCAGCTCGATTTATATCACGCTCCTTTCTACCCTATACGTTTTCGAAGTTGCGTGACAATTACACGCGCAATAGGACATTATTGGAATGACAATATTCTCTCTTGCTTTTTTCCTTTTTCGTATCAACAGACGTCTTCTCTCGTATCCTCTCTCGATTTTTTAAATTAAATAGGAAAAGAAGTACATTTTTTTCCCCCAGAATAGACGTGAAATTTTTGGCTTTGCTTTTTAGGACACATAGAAGCTTAGACTCGAGCATATGTCACTGAATTTTTCTTGCTCTTTTCTTAAGTGACGTTTTCAGTACAATAAATAAAAAAAGAAAAGAACGACAGAACCACGGGAAACGTTGGTACGATTAGAACAGTCACACGAAAATCTCTTTGTCCACTATCCGCAATTATCCCACAGCTGCGTGCTCGGACTTCATGAGGCGCAAGAACCAAGGAACGAATTAAAATAAATCTTAGAGATAAGAAGAATGGCCGTGAAGAAAACACAGTGGTTGGTGTCGGGAGAAAAATCTACTCACGTTTTCTCCCTGAAAATAATACGATTTCGAGGTGTCCCGAACGCGAGTCTCGTATAAATTTTTTTCTCAAAGTGTCTACCGAATGGAGCAGCGGATATATATTGTCTTACAAAAAGTAGTTCAATCGAGATCAACAAACTACGTAAGTACATATACGTTCGTGTATAGTGATGGTTAGAGCTTTATCATGTGTAGGATATTTAAATAGATATAGATATAAGAGAGAAATGAAAATAGATCTAGCTTTAGTGATTACTTTCAAAGCAAACAAGTACTTACATATGATTATCCATAGATATATCAAGCTTGTAATAAGTTATATCCATAGATATATCAAGTTCGTAAATAAGATTGATATATAAGCCTGGAGAAGTAGAAAATAGGGGGAAACATCGGTTGAAGAGGGATAGAGCAAAAGTGATGTAGAAGTTGGGTAAATTGTTAGACGTCAGTACGAATTCGTAAGAGGTAATCAATACGATCATTGAATTAGAGGGACCAAATCCACTTTTAATCCGCTATCCAAATAAATTCCGCTACGAAAGCTTAAATGGCGATGACGAAGGTCACTCTTTAACTGACTTCCTCTTCCTCATGTTGTAACCTTCACGATTGAATCCCTTTTCGGTGGCCTTTTCGTTCTTGATGATACTACACTATACGAATGTCTATTAACGATTGCGAAAGCGAATGCGTTGTTCGAGAGGAGTGTAGGTTGGGTACACGCAATCAGGAATCCTTTCAAAGGACTCAACTATCCAGCGAGGCACGGACGGGCCGCGTGTTGTATGCAAATCTATTCGAATACTTGATTATTTCGATTCATCTTTAGATGAATTCATCGTTCCTCGGTTCATTCATGAAAATCTAACGTAAACGAAAAGAAAACTGAAACATGAAACATGATGAGATAAAAAAAAAACCGATTTATTAATGACAGAAGTGAGAAATATGTAAACATATTAATGACGTTCGTGATAATATTTTTATTGTTATTCGTCAAAATGAGAGATTTCAGGAAGATCTGGTTAAAGGGGAATATGCTTGAAGCGTTTTAAGAATAGTGAAACCACTTTTCAAAACTATGCGCTATTAAAAAATACGTCGATCGTATTGTTTTATGGAATAAAAAATTCGATCTCTTAAAAGAAAATATGCTACAGGCTATTTTAAAAATGAGTTTGAAAGATACTTCGTTGTACGTATTTGACATCAATAATACGATAAATGTCAATAATCTGTTCAACTATCTATAATATAAATCCGATTTCATGTTGGTATGAGAAAGTTTCTTTTTCATTATCTTACAACATAGGCAAATAAATTATATTAGTTTCTTACTATGAATGATCGTTATTGTGATAATGTTATAAAGATCATAATTTTTCTAGCAGCCGAAACAATTATATACTCGTTCATATATCTGTGAAATGTGTTTATGATCCATAGAAAAATTTACAATATATAATAAATTTGTCTCTATATGAATACAATAATGTTAGGTAGATTAAAAGGGAACTTTTTCCTACAGGCGTGAAATTGACTGGTGCGTCATTATTGGCTGGTTGTGTATATACCTGAGTTTGTGAGAGCATTGTTCCGAAAATTGAAAATACTCGAAATTCCATCGATGCAGCGAAACGCAATACTTCGTTTCCCAAATGCCAGCGTAATCTGTTTTCGGCAGTAACCGAGAATAAAATAACACCGTGAGAAAAATATATTCTCACCTTTTTTCCTATTACTATAGAAAGTAATCTTTCGTCATTTTTATACCATTTTTGTTGTTTATTTACGTCAAATTTTTCTTTGCTATTTCACGTGAATTAGAGTATTCCGTAGAAACTAGTGACATTCAACATCATCGATACGATCATTTGTTTGGAATTCATATTATAATTTTTATGCATATGTACTTAATATTTTATATTTTATATGTCGAAACGACATCGTAATACGTTTATAATACACTATGAATCATTGAAATAATTAAATTTTAATTAATATTTGTAAATTGATACGCTTTTGATATATTACGAATAATTAATTTCATTTGCAGTAGATCGTGACAAGAACGTGGATGATTCTCGTGTAGCGTCTACGATGAGAATGTAATTTAACAGCTTTGACGTGGTAATACTTGCATACATCGCTTACATGCTACTGGCTGTTGTATAGCTTGAATCGAGACATGAGAAATTCTGTGGGTTTGTTTCATTAATTATGCTTACGCTACGATGAATCTTTATTGGAGAAACCGATCTTGCGTAAAATTTTGCATAAGAGAACTAGAAATTATTGAAACGTTAATAATTCCTAATTTAAAATAACATATGTCTTTATTAAGAAAATGAATAATTTAAATAATACATATAATACAAGACAGTCCTCTCTCTTAAAAAGGATTTCTATACGTTGAGATGCATATGATGACAAATTCTAATAACGAAAATATCTTTAAATCGTAAGAAAATTTTCAAGAGATTAAAAATTCAAAAATACGGAATATAGTTATGTCTACTGGGAAATAAAAGATTTTTTCTCCGTTAATTCATACGTTCGAACGTATAATATTGAAAATGAATTTTAAATAAATTACGTATGTATCTTGTAATGTTGTAGTAGACTACGTAGAAAAATAATATCGATTAGTATCGAAAATAATACAAACAGTAAAAGAGAAAGA